TCTTTGGGATGTTTAAATAAGTCAGGACAACACACAAACTTCTGCTTCAGAAATCCATTCTTTCCCTCCACCTGCAGGAGCTGATGGGGATTTTACCAGCCCAGGGGCTGCACAAAAGAATCTCAGATTGAAAATTAAAAAGAGTTTTGTGAAGCCCATCTCATCAGTGGGTCAGTTTTGTCCTGTCACCTGTGTACATTCCTCCTCCTGCCATTGCTCTGGGGGTTTATTGACTTTTTCTACATCAGTCACTAAATTCTGGCCAAGGGTCTTTTCTTTCTACCTGGGATGATTCCCTGTAAAGTGAAAATAACCCCTGGCTGGCTGGCTCGATCCACTCACACCCAACTGCAGGCAGTGCTGAAGTCCTGCATTCCTGCAGGGAATTTTCTTCAGGCAATTTGCCTCTTTCAATACTAATTTTGTTTCCTTTTTCTCTAACAACACCTTAAAGGTTCCCCACAGAGTCTGGGCTGTCCCCACACCTTATTCACCTGATTTTCCCTGGAGTTCTGCAAGATTATTTATAAGTACATTACCAAAAATGTTTGTTACTATCCTCATGCTTTGGATACTACAACTGAAATCTTTTCTTTGGAGATCTGGGAGATCTTGGATTCATTCCACCATGAAAGAGGAAATACTGGATGTTTAATAAAATGTAATATGACTGAAGATGAAAAAAAAAAAAAAAACAACTTAAAATTATCTTTCCTTTTGTGTGTTTCATCCTCTGCTCTTGATTCAACTGAATCTCTCATCTCACTCCAAACTAAGTCTTATAATTTTCCCCAGGGTTACAACTTGGTAGATATATATATATATTTAACTAAATCTCCATAGGCCACTTAGACCTTGGCAACTGGTGCTTTTATAAAAACCTACAGGTAATCAGAGCCTTATTGCATTAAGTTAACTCCTCCCTGTCCTAATAAAATAATTAACCTTGCCTTCCTTAATGACCATCAGCTCCTTTTTTTGGTTTACAGAACATGTGCTTAAAATAATCCTACTTTGAATGACTTCTGACAGGATTCAAAGATTTATTCACCTACCCCGTGCAGGAATTAACCTTTATTCTTTAAATCTGGCTATTTTAAGCACTTCTGTATGTGCCTCATGATCTTTTAAAGTTAAAATAACTGCGAAGTAGGACACAGCTAATTCCCCTGAACTGAGGCAGAGGTCTGACTAACATATCTAGGATTACTCAGGAAGGCTGTAGCAGAGTTCAAAAACTAAGCCCAGCTTGGTAAGTCCCACACTGATCACTCAGCCCCTAACGATCTTAATTGATTGTTTTCAGATTATCTAGGATTCTTTGCCAATCCTGCCTGTCCTCGTGTGTTCCATTAGCTGATTCCAGAAGCTTTGATCATTTTAAATAGAGGATCAGCTTACTCTGTGATTGGGTTAATCTGCTGCATCTGTGCTTTTATTTCTTTGATACTCTGACTTCATTGAGTGATCTATAAAATTTACAAGGTTTTTTGGGTGGTGTTTTTTTTTTGCTTACAGATACCACGAGGCAACCAAGACCTGGAGAAGTAAATGGCAAAGGTGAGTGTGTTGGATCAGTCTCATTAGACTCAGCAAATCATTCCTCTGAACAAATTAAAGCTTTTTTGGAGTTTAACCTTTTAATGAATCCCCACTAGCAGGTAAGTAAGTCCTACATTTATGTTTCTAGGGTGCATTTCCTTAGGTAATTACTCAGGAATGATATATTTGAGAGTGTGTATGTATTTATGTATATAAATACACACACATCCACACAACTTTTATTCTTTATTTTGGTGGCACTGTGTGTGCCTTGCATTGGAGAGAAGATACCAAAGAAGGATGGACTTGGCAGGACAAAACCAGAATTTAATTAAGCAATGAAATGTTAACAGAGGCAGAGGATGTGCTGCCACTTTTCTTTCCTAAACACCATCTCTGTGACTCACTGGCTGAGGTTTTCAAACCAGGGCTCTTAATTTAAGATCCCTGGTCTATACTTGGGCATTGACTTGATTTTCTAAAGTGCCAGGTAACTCTGGTGAGATAATAAAAATGCACACTGCTTTGGGAAATGCAACTGCTTAATGAGATGTCTTTGTATTAATAGCTTGTGTCCAGCTGCTTTTCTGTTTTCTGGTTTGTTGGCATATTTCAGAAAGAATCAAAAGAGGTTTGCACTTAATTTCCCATGGCAATTTTCATTTTGAAGTGAGAGGGAGGAATTTTAACAAAAGATAGAGAAACATTCCTTTTTAGTGCATGTTTTTGATGTTGCCTTTTATCTCTCTCACATCCCATTCTAGTCTTTAATTGTAAATACTTTCCAATTAAGGGACTGGACATTCTTGCTGTAATGTGTTCCACACCTGTGGGGGGCAGGGGGGACATTCCCACTGCACCAGAAAGGGTGTGAAAAAGGGGGTGCAGCAGCATTTTTGATCACACAAAAGGCTCCAAAATACTTTGAGCAAGTGTCTGGGCATTGAGGGTGGAGAGAAGCTGCTGTATATGGTAATAAGAAGGTAAATATCTGCAGTCTGCCAGCATTGTCCAAAGCAGATTTTAAGTTATTTCTCCCTTAAGCACCCACAAGTGTCATTTTGACCATGAACTTTCCTTTCAAAGCTGTTAATTTCTGTCTGTTTTTCCCCATTTTCTTTACCCAGATTATCACTTTGTGACCAGAGAGGAAATGCAGAAAGAAATCGATGCTGGTGAATTCATTGAGCACGCAGAGTTTTCTGGAAATATGTATGGGACAAGGTATGAAAACCAAACACTGTCACTGCT